GTCCTCCCCTGGGGTGGGATGGGTGGGATATTGGGCGCACTTAATTTAGAGCCTCGCTCTGTTGTGCGACCCTCACCATACTCTGGGGAAAGTGATTAAATACTAAATAATTTTACCACAGTCTTCCTCTGCGTTCCCATTAGTTCGCAGAATTGTCAAAGCCAGGTCTAAGGAGTATTTTCATTCTAGTTTAGGTGTTTCGAGGAATTTAAGAGGCATATTAAGCCTTTTGTTAGTGATGTTTCCAAATACGGCACGCACAGTTTGAAGTCTGGGGCGGCTTCTAATCCGGCTTTTGGAAGATAGCGTTTAGCTGTATCTAAGGATCTGTCAATTTAATGTTGGTATATTCGTCTTATGTTTACCATTACGGCATTATATTTTTTCCATTATTCGTTGGTGATCGTTTTTACTGACTTTGTAATTTCGAGTAAATTCGTAGAGTCCTGGCGGGGGACGTAAAATGTGCCTGGCCCGTCCCAGATTTTCTGTGCCCCCTTTCTTCTTATGAGGTTTTTCGGGGCAGGTTTTTTCTGGCCACCCTGGTACGCTTACGTGTAGCCTTAGTTTAATTACCTTGATATAACTTTGTTCATTTTTAGCTATCATTAAATCGGGTTTATGGCGTTACTCCCAGACCGTACCCAGTATTCTCCAGTATTTGTTGGCTATCTTTGTGTCTTATTTTCTAATCCCTTCTGGTAAGTGCAGAAATTGTTTGTCATCGAATAATCATTTGATATTTAACAACTATTCACCGAAGTGGAGGTGGTTAGTGGTCGATATTTACCGAGCCGCGAAGCGGCTCGGTAAATATCCACGCCATTTTTTCCCGAGTTGTTCGGAGGTAAGTAGCAAAGGATATTCGGAGTTTGACTAGCCAATCAGAGCGCGCTTTCAACGCTATCCACTGTTTTAGTATACACTAATGTCAGATATACTGAAATTTAGGTCATGTATGTTCTATTGGGATCAATTTTCTCAGCTGCAACCGGCTTTGGTTAAATCAAAGTCTCCCAATATAACTTTTTTTACATATCACTTTCAGTTAAAACAAGTAACCCCATTTTGTTTTGTTTATAGCGAGCTTAAATGTTGGTTAGTAAAGCCCGTGCTCGACATCAAGAAATATGCTATACATGTTGTAACCATGAATTTTAATCGTGACAACCTGGTTTGAAAAAGATGATCAACCACATCAACACAGTTATTTCTTCGCAATAGATCACGGAAAACCTAACCAAATTGAAACTCATAGATTCCAATACGACAGGGGATCTTAATGATGTCCGACTAAGTTAACGAAAACAGGGGAGTGCCGCGTACTTACTACCCCCAAAATTGACCTGGTATTTTTAAAAAATCTTAAATCAAATCCTTGTGCAAGCTAGTGCAACTCATGATATTATGCATTCATGTTTAGAAAGTGACCATTTGCTCAAGAGGCTGAAATAGATTACGCTAGCTGAGCGTGTTAAATTTAGATATATTATGAAAGCACACTTTCCTGCGTTAGAGACCATTTCTCTCAAAATTCTTAAAATTTCCTGATAAATTGATTAGCACATAAAAGACGCATATCCTCTATAAAATACAATCTCTGAAGCTTTTTGAGGGAAGGTGAAGCACCTTGCCAAGGCTCTTTGTATTTTGAATATTTCGGAGGTTCTGTTCTTGTAAAAGTCTAAACCCACAACATTCCATGTCACATCAATAAAAAAATCACCCAGTATAAAGAGTACAGTTTGCGATCGTATGAAATGATCGTTGTAGCGGACGAAATTTTGTTTAACGAATCTTTGCGTATGGATGACAATAGCCCAGAACACACTGACGGTGTTCGGCCATCTCGATGATACTTCTTTCTTCTTATACCACTTATTCTTTGTGGCAAACTAAAGACTGCGTGCACAGAAGACACTTCGTTTAATTCGAGACCATATCAGTTTTTGAGGGATCGATGAGTCCGGCATGAGATCTGTGAACTCGTAAAATGGCCTGTTTCCTTAAATAAAAACGGACCAAAATTCCGACTCTCCGGATTCACTGGTCATCTAAAACGTTTGATTGTTATCAATTTCAAATTGACCTCGCTTGGTCACTTCATTCATTACCAGACAAGTGTTCGTTATTGCAGTATTGCGTGCGAACAAATTGAATACTTTAAGTTTTATTGCTTTTTAAATTACACCGTGTAAAGTTAAGCATATGCCTTCTGGTCACAGACTAGATTTTACTTTGCTGAAATTTTTTAGTGTGGAGGTTTTTAAAAAACTGTGTTTGGTCTACGGTTTCACTCACAGAGGCTTAAATAATTTACTGTATTGAAAGAACAGGAAAGAACAGGTATCAAACAATGAGATACTGGTGTTCTGCCAAAAGAGACAATTAAAGTGATTTCCTCAAAGTGCTGGTTGTAATTTGCCAAGAAAGAGGCATTTAGAAAAAACTCATCTGTGAGTACATAAACTTAACTGCAACATGAGGTAGTTACCCGAACGTTACTTCCCTATCATGAAAATGTAGCTGTTGGAGAACGTTCACTGAAATAACTAAGAATGAAAAGTTGATACCACATACAGATTACGTCACTCAAAATACGACAGCGAAATGAATCTCGGACAGGTGCCCACGCTCAGTTAACCGCCCCTGTGGCCCGACCTTCCTTTGATCTTTCACGCAAATGTCTTTGAATCAATTGTTTTCACGGTTCCCATGTTGTTTTTCTGTATATTGATGCATTTCTGGAGAAGATAACTTTGCCTGAAATGAAAGCTCTTCTAGTTTTGTTTGCGTTTCTTGTTTTGACGGACCAAGTGATCAGTGGTGGAAGAAAACCCAAACTACACGGTCGTTTCAGCCAAGCAAGACTGCATGTCACCGGTAGGTGGGATATATTTGCTCGGATAAATGATCGGCTTTTACACCTGGGATTTCGCTGGCGGAACTTATACCGTAAACATTTTACAGCAATTTCCCTAACTATAACTATAACACGCGGATCAGTTTGTCTCTCATAAGTGTCATAACAGTCAGGATGTTCGACGCTAATTTCTCTACCTGCCACAGGCAATTCAGGTATATTACTTTTTTTAAATAGCCGAACATGAACGGTTCAACATAAAACTTTGTTGGCTAACTTAGTGAGAACAAACATTACGCCTTAGCCTATTTTGAACAAAGCAGGTACTTACTTCTTGTTCTAATTGTCGCTTTGTCTCTTTCTACCTGGTGACCACGACTGAATCTATTCCTTGAATTAAGTTAATGTAGGTAACAGGAAGGTTAAGCTATTTTCGTTCCTTTCTTATTTAACAGCTATTTACGCAATAGGCCTCCTTTGTAGATTCCTAAAACTAAATTTTGCCTTTTTTATGAGTGATAATGTTCACGATTCCACCAGAACTAAACATATTAATAGACATCAAAAACATCTAGAGACTTAGAACATACCTCAGAATAATATTTAATAAAAATATAAACAAATAGCTGTCATTCCGTATTTACACCGACTGGTGTAAAGAAAACAATCATAGAGCTGGTACTCAACTAAAAGACATGGTCAACTGAATCCATGAGATCAAAACGAAATGAAGATACAACAAACGAAGTATTTTCTAACTTCTTGAGATGCAAACTAATTTTCATTGAACACTGCAAATTATCAGTCTGAGCGATGACGAACTGAGAAATATGTTTGGAGTATAAAAGGAAATTTTGAAACTGATTCCAACAAAACAAACAATCATTTGCGACTATTAATTACAGTGAATGCCTCAGTGGCTCCAAAACAGCCACTCGTCAATCACCAAGCTCAAAGGTTGATTACCCATGAAGTTTAGGTAAAAGAAGCGCGAGTGAAAAACGTGAGTGAACGTTTGAACTGAAAAGTGGAAAACAAATAATATTATATTTATTTTGCATGCATTTCTTCTCTTAATGTAGGCAAAGAAAAAAAGACTAGTATACCAGGGTTACCATCCGGAATACCGGGTGTTTCTGTACCGTCAACCGGTGGAAATGAATCAGTGATACGTAAGTATGGTCACAAGTTTACAATTTTAGACAAGATATTTATGAAAGTCTATGACCGATGACCTAATAGCATATTTAGCTTCACGAACTGGATACAGCCGTTGATGTTTATTTGCATAGAATGAATCAAACACGTCACGTCACGTAATTGGTCCTGTAACATCTTATTAGTAGAATACATATTCCGTTTATTCCGAATAGAAATCATGTTTCTTCATAAAATAAACTGACATTTAAATTTCAGATTTAGTGAGCCATTCTTACGCCAATTGAAGTTTATCTTTTGTCTAAATTACGACGTCATAAGATCAGTGACCAAAGAAATCATACCTGAAGCAATTCAATAACGCTAAATTGTCTATTTATGTATTTTTTGCATTTATAGGAAAGAAAGCATTGTTTCTACACAAAAACGACATAACGTCGTGGGTGGTCTTAAGCAAGTAAATGGCCATGCCTTAATTTGTTTGGGTATGGTCTGACAACTGGAAAAATTTCCTACCAAAGCGATTAAATAACTCAAAGCTGCGCCAGAATTATAAAGTGAAAATTAAAATTTGAAGTTTTATTCAATACTTGATAACCAGCGCACAGGACATGTACACAAAGTATCAACGGACCCTAGTGGAACATACATATATACTACATACATACCTTACTGATGGCATAGCTCTTGGGGGGCTCTTCCATCCTACAGGAGTATTAAAATACTAAGTTACAAAATTAAGAAAAAACTATTACAGATAAAAATATAGATTATAAAAACGGCTCATACTTAAAAAACAAAATAACATCTTAATGATCTATGAGTTAAAAATGTTTGTGAAAATTTTCTTTTTATAAAGATTGAGGCTTTTTGTGTTTCTGATTTCCTTTGGTGAAAAGTTAAAAGTTTTTGCCCCACGGTAGGCAAAAGCCCTTGGGCCAGTCAAGATCCTGCATTTAGGCAACGCGAGATCGTTCATTTGCCTAGTATTTCTTTGGTGAATTTCTGAACGGTGTTGAAATCGCTCACGAAGATAGTCAGGACTCAAGTTATTCATGCATTTGTAAACCATAACGAAGTCGTTAAAGAGCAGTTTTTCCTTCATATTGAGCCAGTGTAACTAATGTTTGCATTCTAACGACTGGAAGATGTCAAATAACCACAAAATAGCGAAATTTTCCAAAACCTTTAGCAAGATTGAAGTGTAATATAGTTCAGCAGAAAACGGGTGCATCGTTTATCCCACCTAAGGTTTTTTCAATGAATTAACTTTTAGCCTGAGTAAATAATTTTTTCTCTGTTTATCCAGCTGTGATAACAGGAAACAACTCGGTTGTTCACGCTGCAACAGTTGGAGCCTATGCAGGAGCACAGGCGGGGGCTAGTAGTGGCGCTCAAGAAGGAGCCAAGACTGGAGCTAAGGCTGGTGCCGAAGCAGGAGCCAAGGCGGGCGAGGAGGCAGGGTTGAAGGCTGGGGAAGAGGCTGGCAAACGAATAGCTCACGAGATAGCGCTGGAAACTGTTCAGAAAATATTAATGGCACAAGTGCAGAGTGGTGGCGTTTTCAACGTCTTCGGACAGCACCCCACTCAGAAACCGACTACAGCAGCAGGTGGAGGAGGAGCTGGTGGCGGAGGGGGAGGTGGAGGAGGTGGTGGAGGTGGAGGTGCATCTGCAGGAACAGGTGCAACTGCGGGAACTGCTGGGACAGCAGGAACGGCTGGAACAGCAGGAACTGCTGGAACAGCTGGCACAACTGGTGGGGGAGCTGGAGGAGGTGGTGGAGGTGCAGGAGGAGGAGGAGGAGGCGCAGGCGGAGCCGCAGGGGCAGCAGCAGGAGCGGCAGGGGCTGGTGGGGAAGAAGAAGGCGAGGGGTTAGCTGGAGTTACGACCGGTCTACCTATAATGGGTGGGGTTATGGGTGGTGGGGCTGGAGGAGGGGCTGCAGCTGGAGCTTCAGCAGGAGGAGGAGCAGTGGCAGGGGCAGGAGCGGGAGCGGGAGCGGGAGCGGGAGCGGGTGCAGGAGCTGCTGCTGGTGCTGCAGGAGGAGCTGCAGCTGGCGGTGGAGCCGGTGCAGGTGCAGCTGGCATAGCAGGAGCAGGAGCTCAAGCTGGTGGAGCGGCAGGTGCTGTAGCTGCAATCACAGCAGCTGAGATGGCTGTTGCTACAGCTAAAGCAGCCGCAGCAGTAAGCAGTAGTGGAGCAGCAACTGCTTGTAAGTCGATCACTCATTGGTATCAGCTGGGAAATTATCGGGAAGTTTAAATGTAGCGAGCTCCGTAAAATCCAAGGGCATGGTCTTAAATAAAACCTCGCAGTCATCTGTCTTTCTCCCCACGTAAAGGCGTCCACGGAAGGAAAATAAAGCTATAAATAGGAATAATCTTGACATTTTGCTTATATTTTTCAGTCTATCACGGTGCCATGTATATGATTTATTCCATAAATCGTCCCACCATACAGAACTACAAAAGTAACGCACAGTTCTATGTTCGAGGTGAAAATCTCTTGCTTGGACCAAAGGGCCAATACTTTATCGCTCACGTTCCAGGATTTAGTCGTGATCGAAACACAATCTCACTGGAATCATACTGCAAGAGGGGATACTTCTTACGACAGAAGAAGTATGGTTTTATGCTTAGAGCCACACATGCAAGCTTAAATTTTGGTAAGTATTTTTTATGATATTCATTACGTGATAACATATGCGGTTATATAAATTCGATAGTCAGCAGTTGGTTAAGTTAAGCAGTTCGTGTGTGCTCAATATATCACTAACCCAGGATGAAGTCGAACCATTTTTAAGCAGCACCTTTCTGTATTGTTTACGGCCTCTATTGAACGGTCACTTAAAGCGGAACCACCCATATAAACCTGAGAATGATCTTTCGAATAACAAAGTTTATCTCCGGAAATCAGTGATGTTTTGAACAGTAAGTGGTAATTTGGGGTATAAAATGGCGTTTTTATCGTTTTTTGTAAGCCTCTCTTCTGTGGATCCTTTATTGAGTAGTCATTTAAACCAATCCCTGCGATCGACCGCTAAATACATGGTCGACTGTACATGGAAACTATCATTACAAATCGTCAAATTTTCCATAGAACCGAATAAAGGCTGATAGTTTCTAAAGAAACTGTTTGGGGCTGCGTCGGTGGGGGTAACGAAATAATTTGGATATATCAACAAAGTTGAAATGGTAAATTGGCCACCGTAACGATTACAAAAGCTGACGTTTCAAGCGTTAGCCCTTCGTCGGAGCGAATAGAGGAATTGTGGGTTGTGTGTGCTTTTAAAGGCAGAAAATGGAGCTACGTTATTGGTGGGAACATGGCAACGAGAAAAACACGAATAAATTAGTGGAATGAAAAGCGTCTATTAACTTGTTTCTGAATTTGTTTTCATTATGTCGGCCAACTGTCGGTGACCTGTCGGCCGACAGATATTTTGGGAAGCTCTTCTTCAATTTTACCTCCTTTTCAGCTCTCAAA